CACAACTGCAGACTAATGTCTGCTCCTAAACCTTGTCCAGACCTGTCTGAAAGTGCCAGGTAATGAGGTGTTGTTTAAAAAAAAAAAAAAAAAAGATGTCGGTATGCACAGACAATATTTTCTCTGCCGCCTTCTGAAACGACCCACTGCTGTTCACCATGACAGATTTACAGCCTCTCGTAGAATAATTGCGATCTTCGGTAATAAAATCCTGAGTGACAGACGGAACCGTGCATTATACACCTGAACATTCCTCCTAAAACCAGGTGAACGTCAGAGGAATTACAACCAGGGACATTCTGGACATCGAATTAGCCAAACATCAGAATCCAAATCCGGAAGTACCAAAGTGTTTGGTACTGCTTGTGGTTCTCCGTGCATGATTGTCCCTTTGTGTCTCCAACAGGGAGAAAGGGGACTTCCAGGGCCACCTGGAATCCAAGGAGAAACAGGAATCGGCCTTCCAGGACCAAAGGTGCAGTTTGGTTTGTTTTTAGTTTTTTAGGTCCTTTGAGTTTCATGTAACCGATGGTACTAACTCAGTTGTTTACCAGTGGATTTATTTTAAAAAAGCAGCAGGGTCTGCATTTCTGCTGACAACTTCACTTTTCACACTTCAGTGTCTCTTCACAGTAAACCATGACCTAATCTAATATCCTCCGTCTCCAGCACAAACTTAAACTCTCTCACATTCCTACAGGGTGATGTTGGGTTCCAGGGACATCAGGGGCCTCCTGGTCCTCCTGGACATGGTGAACCTGGACCACTGGTGAGGACAGTGCCACGCAATGTAGACAATACACACTGGAGAAGCTGGACACATCATTTTTTTTGGTCTGCTCTGTTTCTAATCAGGGACCTCAAGGACCACAGGGAGTCCAAGGAGAGAGGGGACCAACAGGAGAAGGTCTGCCTGGACCAAAGGTCAGTCCAGAGAGCCAAAGGTTTAACAAACTATAGAAAATCTATTGTGGTCATTGGTCATTCTAAAGAGTCCAGAAGGCCTACAGAGACTGCAGTGATTATAGTTGAGCACCGGACTGGACTGTATGGAACAGAGGAACCTAACTCTTCACATCACTTGTACATTTTCAGAAGGCAGACAGCCGTGGGTCAAACACAAGGGCGAGGGGATCACAGGCTAAGATAAAAGATCTCCTGGCTAAGACTTGGTCCTAAACATATCGTATTAAATTTAATAAAATTAAAAAGTAAATGACATTTTGCATTTACATTTAGCAGACACTTTTATCCAAAGCGACTTACAGGGGAGGATTAACATTATCAAGCATGTGGTTCCCCTGGAAATCGAACCCAGAACTCTCCGCTTCCGAGGCCGACAAGCTAACCGTGCTAACTATGGAACCTTAAACTAGCTCCTTAAATGACAAACTGGGCTGAAGAAGGGAAGACAAAGGTGCACATACACTGAGAAAACAGTCAAGGAGGTGAAAGCAAGGAGATTCACTCAGAAGGACAGGAAGTAAACGACCTGAGGAGGACAGAGGGAAAAAAGTGGACTTAGAAGAAAATAATTCTGAAGTCAAGTCATAACTTGTCTGCCAGCACCAGGTGATTCTGTGAAGTTCAGGTTAAGAAATATCAGCTGAAGACACACTTGACATTTCATTATAGCATGACATCACTGGCACGGGAAGATAGGACAAGAAGAAATAAAAAAAAAAAAAAAAAAAAATTCCCAGACGAGAGGAAAAGTTCAGGATTAAAACACACACACGCAGGCCCACACAAGTGAAGTGTTTTCCACTGATGACTAAAGTTTCCACGACAGGATGAATGTTTTTACAGAAGTGCATATTTCAGAATGTTTGTAATCCGCTAAAAGATTAGAAACAACAATCACACAATGACAGATAAATTACATACAGAACTCCGCAGAGAAGAAGTGCGGTTTGACATCCCACAGATGGTTTAACTCCACTGCTGCCTCTGTGAAACTACCAGGTCAAATTAAAAGGAATAAAAAACCACATGTAAAGTTGTTGTCAATATACGTTTTAGTTTAAACATGTGGCAAAATTCCATTTTTGATGATTAAATGGACCTAAAGAAATGACTTCAAAATAGAGAAGTTAGTTGAACCTAAGCATACACTGTGAAAAAACTTGAAATGTACAAATGTATAATAATCAAAGCCCTAAAAAAATCTTTAAAAAAATAACCTCCAATGAGTCTGAGAACAGTTTGTGTTTATGAAATGTTTTGACAGAGGCAGAGAAAGAGACAAAGAAAATGTTTGAAGAACTTTGTTCTAACTGTGTGGTTTTTAATCAGACGGCACATTAAATATCATTTAGGTTCAGTCCTTTAGCTGCAGGCTTTTATCCACTTTGTCATGTGGAGAATGGAAACATCTCACTTCATCTGCCCTGAGGTAACGTTTTCCTTTATAACAGCGCAGCATCACAGATGGCGTGCTCTCTACCTCGCACACACACACAACACCTCTCATCCACACAACATGTGTGAACAGGTTCCACATTCACAGCAGCAGCAGCAGCAGCAGCAGCAGCAGCAGCAGCAGCAGCAGCAACATGGGTCTGGTTTTTCCACATCATTAGCCGCTGTCTCAGGAACAGGATCCCAGAGTGATGAGACTAAATGTGGCCTTTTTTTAAGGCTGACGTGCAGATTCAGCACTTTGCTGCTGAAACCACTCTGACAGACTCTGACAGTTTGTCTCTGTGGTTCTGCAGTGACCTCAGGAGACCAGGCAGAACCACATCAGGGGTAGAACCCAAACTGAACTGATGCCACTGTATTCTATTATTTATTATAAATATAAATACTGTTTAATTATATTATTATATTTATTAAGTCTTGTCACTGATTAGTCTAAATTATTTTTTTAAAGTAGCATTCAGCAGATTCATTAGTCACCAGATGAAATTGTTACAGATTTAGATTTTATGCTTGGTATAAAAGGAGCATCAACCAGAGGCTCTCAGCCCAAGATAGTAAATACTTTGATCCTTTCACTACTTGTCTATGGTGACAGATCTAACATTAGTTCAAACGATCTACAGAGTCAGGGTAAAACTATTCGATGGTCTTCTAACAGTCCAGAGTCATTCAGGTTTGGGTCAGTAGGACGCCTTTAATTACCCAGAGGTTTCAGTGCCAGTGTAAATGGTTGTTTTCCTCTACATGTGACAGTGTCATGGACTGACCAAGTGTCCAGATGTCCAGCGTGTGTTATACACTGAACTCTGCTGGTGATGACTCCAGAAGAAGTTGGATAATCCTTGTCTTTCTACTTTGTATTTCCCCTAGGGAGAGCGAGGTTTGGACGGACCACGTGGTCCCAGAGGACAAACAGGGATCGGACTCAAAGGGGACAAGGTAAAGGAGTTTTTTCCCCCAGACTTTCTGTCAAAGACACACAAGATAAATATACACAGATCTTAACATTAAAAACAAGGTCTGCTCTGGCTTCAAATCTTGTTAGCAGGGATGAGAGTTGTTTGGGATTCACTTGACTAAATTCCACCTTGTCTGTGTTAGAAAACAATGTTCTGCTGTTCACCAAACCAGATGCCCTGCACAGAGGAACAAAGTAACGCCGTGAATATGTTTTTATTGTTGTTTTTGAGAGCGCTGCGTCTCATAGTAATATTTTTAAAAAGGATGGATGAATCTGAACTCCACCACAGTAACTTAGTAACAGGCTCGACTGGAGGCACCCCTAACTGATCCTCGTCCTCTAAATGTAATCAGAGAGGATGGATATTATTGTCGACTGTATTACTTTACCTGGGATATTGGAGACAGAGACCTGAAACGTGTCTATTCAATGAGACAAAATCAGTGGTTTTGGCTCATGTGGACACAGCCGCTGCTGGACGGCTGGACTTTCCTGAAGACATGAAGACTGCTTTTTATATAATATTGCCTACATGCACTGTTTCCTGTATATGATCAGAATGCAGGGGTAACAACAGTGTCACTTGCAAACATTGAATATAAAGCAGAGAGAGTGAGTTATGTGCGAGTATAAAGATTTTACTGCCTGAACGTTCTCCTGCAGCGCAGCCATAAAAACACACATTTTCATTAGCGAGGTGAAAGAACAGGATGTTGTTGGCACAGACAGAACGCCGGCTCCTTTTCACATGCCGCAGTAATATATCACAGCGATGTGTGAATTTAGTCAACATTTACAGCAGCACCCCTCACTCTCATTAACATTTATTCCACAACTTAATCTTTACAGGGGGATTTCGGACCTCCAGGTTTTCCAGGTCCACACGGACCTCCAGGAGCAGGCATCCAGGGGGAGAAGGTGACGTCTGGGTTCATGGCACTTTTAATAAAATGCTGCAAAATGACCATTAATCGCTGCTGTAACTAGTGTTGTTTAGCTTTTAGCCTTTCTGAGCTAACAGTACATACTACTGTCATTTACTTTTTTAGCTTTTAGAGCTAACCTTTAACCATTTGACTAGCATTGAACACTACCTGTGACTACTTTGGCCAATATTGAGCTATTTAATGGATAATTGTATTTTTATTTTGTCCTTTTTACTTCTCTTTATATCAAATTATGGTTAAAAAATCAGGTCATAAATAAGATTTTTACTCTTTCTGCAGGGCATGGAAGGACCAAGGGGTCCACCAGGGGGCAGAGGTCTACCAGGAGAGGGCGCCCCTGGACTAAAAGTAGGTTATCAGATCGATATTGATCGTGTACTGCATTTGACAGGACACATTAACTACTGTCCACTGCTTCCTGTGAACATTTTCATGTTTTGTCCAGGGAGACCAAGGTTTGCCAGGGGAGGTGGGGGCCCCAGGTGAGCGAGGGGCTGGAGACCCCGGAGCTAAGGTCTGTCAATGAGATCCTTATTGAAAGCATTGTTTGATGTCAAAAGTTGACAATGTTGTCATGTAATCCTTGAATCTGTTCTCAGGGTGAACCAGGATCACAAGGAACAGCAGGATTACCAGGACTGCCAGGAGAGGACGGGGCCCCTGGACAAAAGGTACTTTATTGCTGTGTGTTTTCATATAAAACCAGTATAAATACACATTATTATTATTATTATTTTGTTATTTCAGGGTGAACCTGGAGCTACAGGTCTGAGAGGTCTGGAGGGAGCACCTGGAACTGGAATTCAAGGTGAAAAGGTAAAAAGTCTGATGGTTGTTTTAAGGATTGTCTTACTGTCGTATATTAATGTTTTTTTTTACTCATTACAAAAATATAATGCTCTCATGTTCAGGGAGACCAAGGACAGAGAGGAATCAGAGGCTTGACTGGTCCACCTGGAATTCCAGGACCCTCAGGTCCAAAAGTAGGAAGCTGTTTATACCTGGATCCATTTTTTTTTTTTTTCAAAATAACTATTAGTTTCTAGTCTTTCATGGAGAAGCAGTTCTTGAAATTGTACTTTGATCATCCACAGGGAGAACCAGGAGCTCAGGGCAGGTCTGGTCCTCCTGGTCCACCAGGACGATTCATTGCTGGACCAAAGGTCACTTTTTCTCTACCTTTATCTAATTCTATCACATCTGGATTCTGTATGTGGTTCTGATGAATCTGACCTGTGTTCCAGGGTGATCTTGGTCCAAACGGTCCTCCCGGTCCTATTGGAGAAACAGGCTACGGACTTCCTGGACCAAAGGTGCTCTGAAAAAAGATGTATATATGTTTAGATAGTCTGTTCTGTTCGTAAAGATAAGAGATAAAGAAAGTTAGCATTTAATTAAATGGTCCAAATAATCCCAAGAGATAGCAGATCAATATGAAGTTAGGTATTATAATCATAGAAGAGTGAAATCAACCTTGAATTATGGAAACCTTTTTGAACATTGGCTACAATTCAGCTTAGAAAATGTTTGATGTTGTTGTTTCTGTGCATCAAAGGGAGACAGAGGAGATCCAGGACCAGCAGGTCCTTTTGGTCCCAAAGGAGATGGATATCCTGGACCCACAGTGAGGAACCTGTTCACTGACTAACGTTTATTAATTCAAATGATACTTCACATATTTTCTTATCAACCCTGACTTCTTTTTTTTCAGGGACCTCCTGGCCCACCTGGACTTACAGGAGAATCTGGTCCAGAAGGAGTTGGCCTTCCTGGACCAAAGGTGAGAAGAACTTGTGTTGGGTGGAAACATAACACATTGTGTTTTTCTATTCCCTTATAAACACTGTTGATTCTTTTTCTGTTTTAGGGCGATATTGGATTTCGAGGGTTACCAGGTTTACCAGGACCTCCAGGAGAAGGTCTACAGGGACCTTTGGTACGTTTTGAGTTCATTGATGCCTCACGTGAGGAGTCAATTTTATCAAATGGTGACACACAGTCATCAATAAAATAGCACAACTCCAAAAGTTAATAAGTCCAAAAGCTTGTTTCAAATTAGCTAAAAGCCACAGCAGCTGTGAGCCGCTAAAAAAAGAGGATAGATCTAAAAAAAAAAAAAACAAGAATAGTTTCGAACTGTGTGTTCGTTGAGAAATATTCCATAGAACACCGAGCACGGGTGTATACTCAGATACCTGCAGGTCCTCTGCTGCGGTCCAGTTTGTGTCACTGACATAAATCTGATGAAGTACTTGGTCCAACAGACCCGACTGAGGGAACTCTCAGCCGTCACGTCGTCAGTTCTCACCCTCAGAGTCTCTACAGGATGCAGAGCAGTGTCTGAACACGACTGACGCCAGAGACCTGGCTCAGCAGCAGAGGAACCAGGATCAAATTAAACATGTCTAATGCACAAGAAAAAAATATGTGAGAAAATGGTTGAGTCAGAAGTTATGACGCATTATTCTAAAACTGGTTTGATCACAGCCTTATTAGATAACCTGGCTTTAACCAGGAAAATAACACATGTTCAAAATTGTCCTGTCCTGAAATATTTCAAAGTATTCATACTCAGATTTATGGTACTGCTTCTATTGGTTAATGTCAGTAAATTTAAGTTTTTTAGATAAAAGTTGAATATTAGACATGTAATATATAAATCTACTCAAAAAATACAAAAAATTAAAAAACCTGGTCAAAAATGGAAGAGACACAAAAACTGTCAACGTTAATGTGTTAACACCAGAATTCACGTCATGTAAGAAACTGAAGGGTGGGAACAAAATTACCAAAAGTAAAAACAAATACCTAGATCAGGGGGAAAATGTTTTTCTTTACATTAAATGATTATTAAATTAACAGGTAGCCTCTGTGTTTGGATGTAGAATAAAAACATGTCCCTAATCAAACCGGACATGTGTTTCAGGGTAACCCTGGAAGACCTGGCTCCCCAGGACCAGCAGGACCACAAGGACAGGGAGTACAAGGACCAAAGGTAGGTAGAATTATTCTGTAATGCTGAGAGCCTGCTGGTCAGAACATGACAACGTGTATGTTCTCATGGTGTTTCAGGGTGAACAGGGTTCCCAGGGTGTGACAGGACCAAGAGGTCTACCTGGAGAAGGTTTTCCTGGAGCCAAGGTTAGTTCTTGACCAATGAATGCCTAGTTGTTCTTGTGAATTCATCATCACCAACAAACACACGGTCATTTGATTGACAGGGCGACCGTGGTGCAGCAGGAGAGAGAGGACTGAAGGGAATCAAAGGAGACTTGGGAGATCCTGGAACTCCAGGCCAACCTGTGAGTGTTGTTTGACTATAATGGATTGTACCAGGAAGCATTTTTTGAGGAAGTAGTAATTCTGGCTCGCAGTGCTTATCTGACAGTCCTCTGAGGACGTTCTAGTAAGTTCTCTTTGTTACTCTTTGTCAACTTTGCAACATTTTTCATTTCAGGGCCGAATTGGAGTAAAAGGTGAAGCAGGTCTGACTGTGAGTTTGACCAAGATCTTTAGCTTCAGTTTCATTGTCCATTTCCTGTTTCAGCCATCTCATGTCTTGTGTCCTTTTGTCTCAGAGAGAGGACATCATACGGCTGATCAAAGAGATCTGTGGTAAGGTATTTGATGGTCCTTGAAATATTAATATCTGTTCTCTGTATTGACGGTGTAACAGTAGATGGTTCAGTTCCCAGGCCCAGCTGCTGTCAGATCTTATCTGTAGATGATTAGATCAGATTCCTCGGGCCAAACCTCCTCAAAGTGACACCACCGTCATGAGCTCATGCTTTCGTGCTATATGATTCCAGGATGTGGGATCAAGTGTAAGGAGAGGCCCATGGAGCTGGTGTTCGTCATCGACAGCTCAGAGAGTGTTGGCCCGGAGAACTTTGAGATCATCAAGGACTTTGTGAACGCCCTGGTGGACCGGGTCACGGTGGGACGCAATGCCACCAGGATCGGCCTGGTGCTGTACAGCCTGGAGGTAAAGCTGGTCTTCAACTTGGCCCGCTATTCTACAAAGCAGGACATCAAACAGGCCATCAGGAACATCCCATACATGGGAGAAGGAACCTACACTGGAACAGCCATTCGTAAAGCCACACAGGAGGCGTTCTACAGTTCACGAACTGGAGTGAGTAAAGTGGCCATCGTGATTACAGACGGACAGACGGACAAACGAGAGCCTGTCAAACTGGACATTGCTGTACGGGAAGCACATGCAGCCAACATTGAGATGTTTGCTCTTGGAATAGTTAATACCACAGACCCAACGCAGGCCGAGTTCCTGAGAGAACTGAACTTGATTGCTTCTGACCCAGATACAGAGCACATGTTCCTGATCGATGACTTCAACACTCTGCCAGGTCAGTTAACGGTCTGAAAAGCAGCCGACTGCTGACTGAGGGCCACCTGGGGTGGGACGGTTGTGACCCCTTACATTACAACATCTACATCTCTGATGTCTTCTTGTTTGATCTTTGTCCCAGCTCTGGAATCCAAACTCGTCAGCCAGTTCTGTGAAGACGAGAACGGAGCACTGATCTACAACAGAATCGCCAACGGCTACAATGGCTACGGAAACAACGGCTTCAGGAACGGCATCAACGGAAACTACGCCATCGGTGGATATGGATATCGACCTGTGACAGAACAGGAAACTCTGAATGGTCGACAGAAGGGTGGCGCCCCCACTGGAGGAGGCAGCAGCAGCAGCAGTAGCAGCACTTACAATGTTGGAGTCCAAGTGGAGAAAACACAGCACGGCAGTAAAGGATCCAGTACAGTACAGGTACAGTTGAGTTAGAGGGTCTGAGAATTAGTGACATCTACTGGTGAGAATTCAGACTGCAGTAAAGGCTATCACAACAAACAGCTTCAGCTGAAGGACAAAGTTCTTAAAACTTCACAGGATTCAGGATAAGATTTTGTTCCACATTAAAAAAAACCCTTTTCATTTACTTTTCAAAAATGTCTGCAGACTGCATTGACCAAACCTGATGTAATTGTCACGAGGATCAATGGTGAAATGACATATTACAGTTATAAATGTCACATTTCTTTTTTTGATTTTAATTCTAAAGTTTGGTAAAAAAAATAATTTACCTGCTCCTTATCAACTGATCAATAATCCAACACAGAAGGAACTGTCACGGAACCCAAACTGATCAAGGAAAACCAACTGATTTCTGACCCTTTTCTCCTTCCAGGTGTCATTGATTACTCTCCTCCCCCTCTTTTCCTAATCAGCTGAAAAAGGCCCATTCCCTAATTCTAGTCTTTTTGTTACAAAGACACCATTGTCTCATGTAGAAGATCTAAAACTCTAACCAGAGTCAATAAATGCTTTAATCTGAAATATGAAAATTCAGCTGAGGGATCTTTCATTTCACATTTTTTAATAAGAGAAGAGATTGTTTTGCTGCTTTTACCACAGCAGTTAAGAATTCCTTCAGTAAAACTAACCCTGAGCTGGACTCATGTACCTGGTGTAGGTGTCACTGGTTGTTTGACCTGCAGTAAAAAGACATGAGAAGCTAACAGGGTTTTAGATGTTCCACCCCGGACCATCAAAGTGCACACATGTAATTTAACAGCGTCTAACTGACTTTGTCTGGTTTATCTTCATCAGGTTGGAGGAGGAGGAAGAGGAGGAGGAGGAGGAGGACAGCAAGTTGTCACTGAAACAGTCTGGAAGACTGAGCGTGGAGACACATTTAACCGTGAAACAGACCTCAGACCCGTTCCTTCTAGAGAGGAGACCTCCAGCAGCGGAGGTTCCTCCTCGTCATCGTCATCGTCTTCCTCATCCTCTTCATCTTCAACTTCTTCTTCTACAAATGTGACAATCTCATCTTCAGGTGTATCGGTGACATACGTCCCTCCTCCAAAGCCAGCTCTGCCAAAAGGTGAGGCTAACGGTAGCAATGCTAACTCATGTTACATTAAGAACAGTACCAGTACTGGGCAGACCCTCGGTCTGTCCCCCAGGGTCACCGTGCTATGTGACAGTAACAACGACCTCATTTGACCAGATGTTTCATGGCTAAATCTGGACAATAATTAGCAGTTTGGCTAACTTCTAGCTTTTTAATGCTCTTAAAAAACCCGATCTTGTGGATCAATTTTTTGTTTTTTAACAATATTCTCTCTTATTATCTTATCTATTTATTGCAGAAAATTAGATTTTTGCGTATTTTATTAAACTAAAATTTTAATTCATGACTGATTATGATTGAGCTATTTTTCTTTCAAATAAATTGCAGTACTTTTGAGCTGTCTTAAACATGTCCTACGTGACAAGGCAGTCGTGTGAGCCGCAGAGCCCTGGTTGGACATTTTTACATTCAGCTTTAGCAAACCTTGTTCTAGTCTAGTGTGTGTTTAAACGTCAGTTACAGTAGGAGAAGTGTTAGAGCAGCAGCAGCAGCAGCAGCAGCAGCAGTTGTGCAGTAGTGAAGTGTTGATCATCTGTCTCCAGGGCTAACACTACTCTCTGATTGACTGCCTCGATAATGAGGTCATGTAGGTGAGAAGCAGGAAGGCCAATTATTTTTGACACATTTTTTTTAGCACCTGCTCCTTCCTGAAGGAACAGGCATGGTTTGGACAAAATATAGAAGTGTCTACATCAGCAGTGTCCAAATCTTTTCTTAAAGAGGGCCAAGATTTGATCATTTAAAAATATCCCGTATCATTATTGGGATCCCACTGTCACTTTCACAGTTAAAGAAAGTTTCATGCAAAGTAAGTTTCATCTAAAGACATTTATTTTGTGCAGAACAAATGATTTTTATTTAGTTTTATTGGTAACGTCATTAAGTCATATTTCCACTCTATTTTGGAAAAATGTCTACAAAACATTTATGCCGCACGACTCTGATAACAAGAGGAAGAGTTATGAAACTAAAAGTTAGCTAAATGCTTAAACAGAACGTACCAAAAAAGCCGTTCAACAGTACAGAAAAGTCAAAACTGGAGAGAATACACTGTCAAATCAGCCAAGAAGAATAAATATAGATGGAAAATATATTTTAAAAAAACCTTTGACCACATTAACTTAAAACCGGTCAATGTACCATAAATAGTTCCAGGGTTTGTCTGGACTGGAAGAACATTTTAAAGTGTTGTTTTATATCCTGCAGAAACTGCTCCATTAGACCCTCGCTGTGGTCTGGTCCTGGACCAGGGAACATGTCGTGACTATAACATCCGCTGGTACTATGACAAGCAAGCCAACGCATGTGCTCAGTTCTGGTACGGAGGCTGCAATGGGAACAAGAACCGATTCGATACAGAGGAAGAGTGCAAGAGAATGTGTGTGATTCCCAGAACCACAGGTACGTCATGACACAGTTGTATAACATTACTATAAAAATACTATATATTACCATAGCTATATTTATCTATACTAGTGTGACGCTGGTTACTTGGAGGGTTTTATTGATAATATGGGACAAAACCAAGTCATTCCTTCAGCTGTGATCAGACCATGTACATCCAATCAGGTTGATTCTGAATCTTCTCCATCTTTTTTTTTTCCCCACCAGGAGGCTGAGAGAAAGCATCTGCCACCCACTGCTGTTACTGTAGATACACCAAAGAGGGGCAGGGCAGCTAACACAGGGCAAATACACAGGGTTATATTGAGGTTTCCATCACTCCTGTTCAACATCTCTGCTACATGTTCACTGATTCTCTCCGAGGACCAGAGACATGGTCTCACTTGTGTTTTATAGATGCCTCTGTTGCGTGTGTGTGTGTTTTATAACGTCATGTCACCTACAGGAGAAAGGATCAATCACATCTTCTCAGGAAAACTCTTTCCTTTTAATTATATTAATGTACCTTGACCCAAACAGCTCCTGTGTGTAAATAAAAAACAAGCTGTAGATTCAAATTTTACTGAGGTTTTAAAGCTACAACAGGCATCAATTATAAACTGCTTCACGGCTGTGGGTTTACCCACAAGACCTTAAATGGCCACAGGAGGCAGTATTGTGTCCATTTTCTCTACAGACCTTTGGGGTGAGACTGTGTTTAGCAGACATTTTCATCAGGTATCACAGGCAGGGGTCAATAATTTAGAACACAAAACTATCCGTAATTATTATTGCTGTTATGATTATTATGCAAAATAATAATTATATAATAATGGAGAGTCGTTGTTGTTGGTTTGAATGTGTTTTAAATGTATTGGAATAAAAGATAAAATGATGACTTCCTCTGTTTGAAACAGACACACCTGTAAACAACGCCGCTCTCTGCTGAGTCACACACCGTGTGAACTGAATGAGCCTCGTCCGTGTTGATCAGGAATCATGTTCCCCAGCTTTACTGACCATAACTGTTTTCTTTTTGTAATTTGATGTCAAACATTTTTTTAATAAACCAGATCCAAACTAAAAAGTCTTCTGGGTTTTTTTTTTAACCAAGGAAGTAATTCATATCACTTTCTTCCTGGTGTTATAGAAATTATAAGCTTAATATATATATATATATTTATATATACATATATATATAACAACATATAACTAATTATACTAAAGCAAATACATGTTCAATAAATCTTTGAAAATAAATAACTCATTTCTGTTTGTCAGAAATTCTAAAGTTTTAATCTTTATTGTTTGGCTATTAATAGAAGATTGGGCCAAATTTAGCTACTGCCATTCCAGTACAGCTGTGACACAGACAAAACTGCTGAAAATCAGTAAAATGATCATCGAGTGAATTATGACCTGCTGTATCTGACTGTAACTGGGGCTGAAAACCGATCAGATGAACTTCTCCTGTAAATAATACAAAAGAAAAGTCTCTCTGTGTGAGTCAGACCGTGGAGTGGACTGTAGTGAATAAATACATTTGTCGATGTTGCTGCGATCATTTAGTCATGGTCTTATTTATTTCTGCTGGTGGTCAGAACTGGAAGTCCTTTAAACTCATCCTGCGTCTCAGTCTGAGTGACGTCATGGACTATCCTGGAACAGTGGAGTCTTCTGCTCTATCTTTAGGCTCTGCCCACAGCCCACTCACCTCACTTAGATAACTTTACACACACACACACACACACACAGCTGTAAAACTGCAGTTTGACTCCATGACACCAGTGTTAAGGTTCAACTCTTCAGTTTACTCACTAATTGGATTTTAATGTTTGATCTTGAAGTGACAGACTCTCCCTAATGTTTGTGTCCCAGCTGAGATGTCTCCTCTGTCTGTTGAGGCCTCAGACCGTGTGAATGTGTGTGTCCAGTTAGCTGGTCTTTGTGTTATATGTGCATGTGTGTGTTCCAAAATAAAAGTTTCTCAAAAATGAATAAAAATACACTCGTCTTGTCTTAAAATACTTAGCTATGTCCATCTTTGTGGTTAAAATTAAGAAAACATATACTATGGAATTACTAAAAATGCAACCACCACCAAATTAGTATTTACCAGTCTTCAGCTGTGAACATTCAAAAGACAAAAAGGCACTGAAAATCTATAACAAAATGAATGTAATGTGTAAAAAAAGAGAAAAGCAGAGACCAAACTCCTCAGTGTGTGTGTGTGTGTGTGTGTGTGTGTGTGTGCCACCTGTTTTACAAGCAGCTGCTAAACTTGAAATCCTGGATCCTATATTAGGGGTGAGGCTTCTCTGAAGTCTATACATCCAAGTAGACTAGAAAAGAATAGAATTATATATTTAAGTAAATGTGAAGATACGACTGTTTTAATTGTCATAATATATAGCACATATAGAATATATTAGAGATGAGATACATTAATCTTATTCTGAAGTGTGATGAGGTTTGACTAGTTGTACTATTTGTACATTGTTCAGATTTGAACAATGAATAAAACTCTAAAGATATGTTAGAATTAAATGAGAGAAGAGACCTGCTGGATCACTGACAGTACGATAATGATAATAATAATTATTATTATAATTATAATAATCATAAAAGTAATAATAGGGGCGGTATTTAGTTCTCAGTTCCAACTCACAGGCTGCCACAGGGAGGGGTATGGTGATTCCTCTGGGAATCAAACCCAGGACTCTCTGCCCGCTGCTTGTAAGGCAACTGCTACACTATCTGTGAACCACTGTCTCACTGATGGACTCTGGTCTAAACCCTGTCCTGGGTTCAGCTTGGCACTGACCTATTAAAGGCCTCTGACAGCATTGTCCCTGCTGCTACTGCCACTGTCACATGACACTGTGGAGCTGAATCATGCTGCTGGATCCTCAGCAGTTGCTTCTTTCAGTCTGTGACAGCAGCTGTTGGTCCAGTCAGATTCCACTGGAGAGGAGGTGGGGAGGGGGCAGCAGAGGGAGCTATATTTAGAGCTAGTCGGGATTAAATTGCAGGGTCTTCATTCAGGAAACCTTTTCTCTGCTCTGCCTTTTCCAGCCAGGACCTACTGCCAGAAGGACCTGTGGCCCGTCGCCTCATTCCTCTCTCCTTGGACCTCCTTATCGCCATCCGGACTAACCATGGACCCCAGCGCCATGAAGGAGGAGCTGCGCCTGTTTCAGAGCACCCTGCTCCAGGATGGTCTGAAGGAGCTGCTCAAAGAGAACAAGTTTGTGGACTGTAACCTGAAGGTGGGGGATCGCAGCTTCCCCTGTCATAGGTTGATCATGGCTGCCTGCAGCCCCTACTTCAGGGAGATCTTCTTCACAGAGGATGGCAAGGAAGTGGAGAACACACAGGAGGTGGTGCTGGATGACGTCAACCCCAGCATCCTGGAGCTCATCATCCAGTACCTGTACTCAGCGGAGATCGACCTCACTGATGACAACGTTCAGGACATCATTGCTGTTGCCAATCGATTCCAGATCCCCTCCGTCTTCACCGTTTGTGTCAACTACCTCCTGAAGAAGCTGTCCCAGAACAATTGCATGGCCATCTTCAGGATGGGCCTGGTCATCAGTTGTCCCAGACTGGCCGTGGCCGCTCGCAACTACATCGCAGACCGATTCGGAGCCCTCTACAAAGACGAGGAGTTCCTCAGACTCGCTCCACATGAACTGTTCGCCATCATCGGGGGAGACTCCCTGAACGTGGAGAAGGAGGAGTTGGTGTTTGAGGCCGTCATGTCTTGGGTGCGTTATGACAAGGACAAGCGTGTGAAGATCTTGAAGGATGCATTCAACTGCATCCGCTTCCGTCTGATGCCAGAGAAATATTTCAAAGAGCGTGTGGAGTCTGATGACATCATCAGAGCTGACCCAGAGCTTCAGAAGACCATTCAGGAGATCAGCGATGCCTTCAAGGGGAAACTTCCAGAAACACCACAAAAGAAGGAAGGGGCCGATAAGGAAGGAGATGAGGAAGAGGAGGAGGAGAGCCCCTTCCCTGGGTACCTGAATGATAACCGCAGATTTGGCATGTATGTGCGTGACTTCATCCTCATGATCAACGACACGGCGAGCGTAGCCTACGATGTCAATGAGAACGAGTGCTTCCTGGCTGCGATGTCGGAGCAGGTGCCACGCAACCACGTCAGTGTGGTGTCTCAGAAGAACCAGCTCTACATCATCGGAGGACTGTTCGTGGACGAGGAGAACAAGGATGTTCCTCTGCAGTGCTACGTCTACTTGGTAGGAACAAATGTTCAGATGCTCAAAAAAAACAACTGGATTTCTTTTACTGAACCAGCACAAAATGAATGTTGTACTGAATTTGTCTTAAATCTTAATAAGCCTTACACAACTTTTGACTGAATAAATGCATCTCTGTGCTTAATCCATCCTGATACAGGGTGGATTCAAATCTAAAATGGATTATGATGAACTAAAATCTGTGTCAGGTGAAAATCCTAACCAGCTGACCAGCTACAGTTTCCAAAAAAAATGGAACAACATTGAAAGAAAGTGTATGAAGACAATGTATGAAGTTCAAAGGTTAGCTAACAGAGGAGTGCAACAGTTAACTTAACAGGTCTACCTGAAATATACATTTAAAAAACAAACAACAATTAAACTAAGGGCGATCAGAGTGACAACAGAAGTCTAGTCTAGTCTCGCAGTGTTTTACTAACATACTGACTGATACCATTTGTGTCCAATAAAACACTCGTTTCCTCTCCACTCTGCTCCACAGCTGGATCCTCTGAGCTCAGACTGGGTGGCTCTTCCTCCCATGCCTTCACCCAGGTGTTTGTTCAGCATCGGAGAGAGTGACAACCAGCTGTTTGCAGTGGCTGGAAAAGACCTGCAGAGCAACGAGTCTCTGGATTCTGTCATGAGCTTCGACACCGAGTCAGTGTTCCTGAAAACATGGTTGTCTATACATATGTATACAAGGAGCTAAAATTAGCCTCCGAATGTTTGTGCTTTAAGGAAATTGAGGTGGACTGAGACCAAAAAGCTGCCGCTGAAGATCCACGGCCACTGTGTGGTTTCACACAAAGGTCTGGTGTACTGCATTGGAGGAAAGACAGACGACAAGTGAGTGTTTGTGTGTGTGTGTGTGTGTGTGTGTCTGTGTGCAGCTGTCTGTTGTCCATCAACCTGCCAAAACCACAAGGCTGGGCTACATTTTACACACAATGACTAAACAGCTGCGGGCCACTGAGGTCTGGTCTGGTCTAAGTAGGCCACAACCCACAGGTGGGTCACTCGAGACTCTCTCACATTGAGAACTGCATTATTAATTCCATGCAATGAAAATGCATAGTTTCTAATATTATAAAGTATTAGAGTAAGTTGTACTTCTAGCTACTGTAGTAAAACTACATACACTAATACTATAGCTATTTTCTGGCACTTACATACATGTATCCTACTTCTCCTATTCTTGGTACTAATTACTAGTTCTTGGTACTATTCTGCGCTCCTTACATGTGTGTAAATAAAGTCTCCAGGACTGTTCTAATTTCCCTGGAAAGTCACAGCCAGTGAGGTGCCTTGTAGTGTCCGTACACACAGTGTCTGGTACTGTTTATAGTTCCAGTCATGCAGTAAAACAGGCCTCAAATAAATGAGGTACCTTTCTTGCAGTGACGTGTGGTGAGGTTCATGGCTGGTGAGGCACTGACTCCTCTGGAGTCAGATTTACAATTGTAAGAACGGAAATAAGCATCTCATTTCACTAGTCATCCAACAGCATCACCTGGTAACGCTTCATACTTTAAATTCTGCTGCTTTAATCAAAGGTTGTCTATCAAAATGAAAAGAACATTTAGTTATCAAACACCTGAATTGTTTCTACTTTCACCCATCTTAATTTTAAAAAACAAAAACTTAAATCCTTTTTTAGCCTTACCTTTACTGATAGATGAAGTCCATGGCTGTATCTCTCGGTTTTCCTTCACCTCAGCACTGTCGACGCTAATGTTTAGTCTCCGCTGTTCATCCAATGTCAAATCGATCCTTGAATTTGCAAAAATTTGTAAAGAAATCTGGCTCTGAATGTGTGTGGCTGATCGTTCATGTCTGCTGAGGCTTCTTCGCAAATGTTTCAGGTCACAGTATCCCGAGTTAGTCCAGACGTTATCACACGATGAGAATAAAAGACAAGGAAAGCAGAAAAGCCCGTTTCTTTCAGGACAGACACACAGCCTGTCTTTTCGTTTGTATCACTACATTTAAAAAGAACGACTTTTCTGTCCCGTAGTTTGAAGCTAACATTTTAGCTCCAGTGTTGGTGTTCCATCATTTATCACCTTCTGTTTGGACCGGAAGTCCAGTTTTGAGAACGTATGAGCCCTTGTGGTGAGGCAGAGTACTGTTTGCCTCCTCTGCTGACTTTTCTCTGCACTTTCTTGTATGATCAACAGGGACTATTTTCTCACACATAAAGACGTTACACAGACTGTAGAGAGGCTGTAGAACAAATTGTAAAGTTAATATTGGCGATATGCTGAGGAACAGAAACGGGCACGCGTCATGGGACCCATTTTGTGTTGGATCGCGCAGTCAAAAGTGAGGCACAGCACTGCCTCCCCTGACCGCAGGGAAGTTGTCCAAACTTCTTTTTCAAACTTGTAAACTTTGTTTTTCTGGAGCACCTAAATATCCAAATGATCTAAACATGATCATGTCTTGATTTCCTGGTTCTCTGTCTGTGCAGCAAAGCTCTGAACAAGATGTTCGCCTACAACCACAAACAGTCGGAGTGGAGGGAGATGGCCGCCATGAAGACCCCCAGGTCCATGTTTGGAGCTGTGGTCCACAACGGAAAGCTTGTGGTGGTGGGTGGAGTCAACGAGGAAGGACTGACAGCCAGCTGTGAGGTCTACAACTTCACCTCCAACAAGTAGGATGTTTGTTCTGAGTTCTCTAGTTGGTTAATGAACAAATGACTTGATTTTTCAGCAACAACCACAAAGGATTTTTTAAAGCATTGTTTAAAATCCTGTCTGTTCAGACAACAAATATCCACAGAAGAATCAAAATGTTTGTTAAAATATATATATATAGCTAATAAAAGCCAATAACTTAGCTAATAAAGCTAATAGCTAATAAAAATATACTAAGAATGAGTAACATTTGGAGAGAAAACAAACTGAGTATTGCATTTTAAACATTAAAAAGACATAGTGATACTTCTCACACACTGACCATTCCTCATTCCTGACACTGTTTCTCTTCAGGTGGGAGAACTTCACAGACTTCCCTCAGGAGAGGAGCTCAGTGAACCTGGTGAGCAGCAGTGGTTCTCTCTTCGCAGTGGGCGGCTTCGCCATGGTCCAGGCGGAGAACAAAGAGGTGGCTCCAGCAGAGGTCACCGATGTCTGGCAGTAAGTCTGATCAGCTTTGATTTAACGTTGTTGTTATTGTTGTTGTCTCCGGTCCAAAGATGTGATGACAACTCCTCTTCCTCCTCCTTCAGGTACGAGGAGGATAAGAAGCAGTGGAGTGGGATGCTGAGGGAGATGCGTTATGCTTCTGGAGCCTCCTGCGTCTCCATACGTCTCAATGCTGCCAGGATGCCTAAACTGTGAAAACAGAACCAGAACCAGTCCACATGCCACCATCACCAAACCTCTGAACAGTTTTAATCTACAAAATGAACTTGTTTTTGTTTGACAACCAAGATCTCCTATAATAAAAAGAAACTTGACGGCGGCTTAACATTTTTTAAATTATTAAATTATTATTTTTTTTGGTTAAACAAAATGCCATCCTGCATGGTCCACATGCACCACACCCCACATTCAGTGTTAAGATGTAGTAAAACCCGCCCTGCAGTTCAGAACTTGTTCGGTGGCTAACGCTACAGTGATGCTTCACTGTCATAGGACAAATTTGTACTCCACGAGTTTAGTGAGTTTTCTGCTCGGGTTGTGTGTCAGAACAGCTGAGGCTGGGCTCCAGATGGCAGCCACAGAGGCATTCAATCGTCAGAAAGTGACCCAACAATAGAACGCATGTTATTCCAGGTCCTGGAAAACTCTTAAACACCAGCTGTTCCACTTTTTAGACACTTGGTTGTTGCACTTGTCGATGCAGACAGACTGAATCTTAGACTGGTCTTAGAGTGCCCTCTGTAGGTTGTAACCATAAACTTTGGGGTTTTTTCCCCCAAGCCTTTTAAATCAATGTTTCAACTTTGAAACTTTAAACTTTAAAGTGACAGTCCTAAAAGAACCCACAGTCACACAGACTGTAGTCACACTTCAAACTAATGTTCTGTCCATGAATCTGTTCATTTTCATTTTCGTAGACTTTCTAAGACCACTGTAGGGTTTTGTATGTGCCTATAAACATTTTTGAAATACAAGTTGTCGCTGATGTTGATGTGAATTAAAATGACTCTTCCCTTCATTTCTAGCCCTCCTGAGATTCTTTTTACACTGACCCTGACTTAGCTAAGTAGGATGTTGTTAAGTCAACATCCCATTTATCAATAAAGTCAGGGTCAGTGAAGGCGCCGTACAGCTGGGCTCACAGATTAGAGACATGGATTACATCAAGTGAAGTTTTTATATTTGTTTAGTTACAGCTGGATTTTAGGTGTTTGTACACCCTGAATCCCTTTTACTGCTGAGTCTACTACAGACAACAAAAACCACTGTGACATAAACACAACATTTTCTCTGTCAACCTTGTTTGTCCCATGGACTGGTTTGAATTAAGAAGAAAGTGAGTTATTTGTCATTGTGACACAGCACACAACCCTCTGCTTTAACCCATCACCAAAGCGGACAGTGTGTGGGGACAGTGCCTTGCTCAGAGCACCTCAGTGGTAACTTGGCAGATGGTGGACTCGAACCTGAAACCTTCCAGACCCAAGTCAAGCAGACTTAACCTCAAATCCACCACTGACAGTATCCTCACTGTCCTGTGCAGCAAAACAAAAAACAAAAAAAACAACTACATAAACCCTTTTTGGTGCAGACCTTGTCCATCACCCTGTGGTTTGGGGAGTCTTCATTTTTTGTCCTACATATAGAAAATAAACGAATCTTCCTGACGCATGAAGCTTAGAGTCTCCAGCTCCAATCAGGCTCTTCTTGGACTGTTCTAACAGTCAGCTCCACACTGACTTCACTCTTTTGTTTTGTGTTTGTCTGTAAATTGAATTATCATGAACAAAACTGAACACACTTTTATTAAAGGGGAAGAGAAACCAGTGAATAAAACTCCTGCCAATGAATGAACCAATACATTTACAGCCATCGTGCCAAAGTAGCCAAGAAATAAGAGAAACATATTAAAAAAAAGCCACAACCAATAAATAAATATTAAGACACTGTATGACAGTCAAACAAAGCGTTCAGAGGCTGCCAGAGCAGGAGCTGCTGCCAGAGGAGAACCTCCAGGTGAAGGAGGAGAGGGACGGAGGTGTTAGGGACTCCGGTTTAGATCTGACACCTGGATGTGTTTCCTGTGTCCACGTAGAATCCTCTCTTTGTATTCACACAAATAAAAACATCACATCTGTTCACAGAAATGAAATCATCTCTAAATCAGTCAAATTTTGTGTTCATTGTTAATGGAAACTGCTGTTTTCTCCAAAAAAACATCCATTTAAAGCCGGGGGAAAAACCCTTTTGGGTTAAGCCATAGATTCTCTGATATATTTACCAACTAATCCAGCAGGGGGTGCTTGACCTCGTTTGGTCCATCAGTAGACAATGTTAGTGAGTCTATTTTTGTGTTAAAACAGTCCTCCTGAGTTACAAAAAAAAATCACCAACACACTTGTAAAGCAGCATATTTGGCTTCTGGAGTTCTGCAGGAGTTCAGTGTGATCGGACCAATCAGAACGTAAGTGAACACCAGTCCTAATTAGGACCAAAGGTCTCCAGACAGAACATGGTTCTCCTCACCCAATTCCAGACAGAACATGGTTCTCCTCACCACCTCACCACTTGGCTGCTGTAGTCCTCTGTGGTGGCCACAGTCTCCAGAACCTTCCCTTCCTCTGAGTCTCCTTCTCCTGCTCCTCCGCCACCTCCCAGATTCCACAGCTTGGACAATATGGTCCTGTACGACTGCTGCTCCCGCCTCTCCTGCCTCCTCCTCAGTCGCTCCTCCTGGTGCTGCCTCTGACGGCTGTACTGGTAGCGGAGCAGGAAGAGATTCTTGGCGTACTCGTACAGCTCCATGTCCAGGGCGTTCAGGCCCTCGATGCGCCACCGCACCTTTTCGCTTATTCCCACGCTAGCAGCGCGTGTGCTGTTGATTTGCGTGAAGGCCTTGATGAAGCGCAGGCCAAACGTCCGCTCAAACAGGTACTGCGTCTTTCGCTGAAATTCCGTCAGGCCGTAGAAGGCCATGTTGCGAAGGTTGGCCTTGGCGCTGGCGAGGAGCACGCGTCCACGCTCCAACTCGCTCATGGAGGACATGTTGTAGCAGCCCACCAGGCTGAGGTCGGCCAGCATTCTGACCTGACGGTTGTTGGCCAGGTTAGAGGGGCAGTTCATGAAGTCAGCCAGAGGAACGCCGGTCCAGTCCTCGCCGTTGTAGCAGGCAGGAAGTTCGTCCTGGGTAGGAGGTCGGCCGTCACACATGTGCAGCGCCGTTTTCCAGGTGGCTCCGCGCTGCACGTGCTTCCACTCGCTGAGGTAGCGAGACACAGGGTCACGAAGCATGGTGATGTAGTAGAAGCTTCTGCAGAAACAAATGATGAGGTGAAAGATAAGCATCAGTTTTAGGAAGAAAATCCTGACAGTTAAACTACTGTGGTAAAACTCTGGTGTTCTGTCCTGGGACTGTCAGTGTTTGGGTTGAGACACATCAAACCTACAGAAACACCATGAGTAGTCCTCAGGGTCTAGTGTGTTTGGAAAATGAGTAAGAGTTTGGTAAAAATAAAAAACGCCTGCCTCTCTGTGCAGGTAATGATGCAGAGTAGGAACAAAAGTGTCAATAAAATTGAAACAAGACATCATCGTCCTATTATCCTGCCACAGAGACGGTCTAACAAATGAAAAATATAATTTTGTACATCTGTGGGTGATCGTGGCGACAGGGAAATCAGCCTTAACATCCTGCAGATGTGAAATGGTTTGGTTCCCTGTCTGAACAATTTGCACCTTCTTCCCTCTGATAATAAGTTTTGATCAAATGTGTCATAAACGAAGCCTGGCAGACTGAAATGAAAAGAGAAGCCGCACAGGAAGCGTTCAGTGAACACACAGCAGACCTCTGCTCTCATCTATTGAGTCCAGTGATGTTCAGGTTCACAGAGGAGGCAGGAGGAGTCCACGCTGGCAGAATCGAAGGCATTTTTTTAAATGTGTGCTCAAAAGGAAAAATACAACACAGATAAAAGGGAGACTGAAAATGTTCCATCGTGTGTGCACAGTTCAGAGTGGCCCACAGTGACAGAGAGAAACCAATTATAAAAAAAGAATATATATATATATATATATATATATATATAGCAGTAGTTTTCATTTCTCTCATTCCTGCAGCCACACTTTACACTTTAGTGTGGATTCAAGGACGTGGTTTCGCTGCAGCGATGCTGTAAACGCTTCACTTTTCACCATAAAGCTTCAGTTGGCAATATGTGTAGTTTTACCGTCTCCCAACACTCTGTGATGATGATGATGATGATGATGATGTTCTCTACAAAGCAGACAGTGTTCACAGGTAGAACCACCGTCATTCCACTTTCCTCAAACATCTGCTCTGTGAGCTGCTCATGCAGTGAATACAGTCCTGTAAACTCTTAACTTCTTTTCAAGAAATAAGGAAAAGTCTTTGGCTGCTCACTGATTGTCCACAGCATTAAACACCAGCAGCAGTGTTATTGGTGAGCTAGCATCTAGCATTTTAGCAGCAGGCTACAAATCAGTAGCAGGTGCAGTTTTGACAAAGGCGTGGCTAAGCTAACCCTGTTGACACCCTCAGCTGTGCTTCATCTTTTGGACTTTACCAGCAGTTCTGAATCGTCACTCCAGACAATGGATGAACAAAAAGTGCGACTTACAGGAGTAGCAGATACTGGTACACAAGCCTAGAGTGCCCTCTAGTGGCTGTCGGTGTGAAAATAACAAACGTGAAATTATTTTTTTTTAAATATATAAGTCGCACATGAGTATAAGTCACAAACCCGGCCAAGGGATGAAAACAAAGTGCGACTTATATGGTACATGACTCCTGAGTTTAGTGAGTGTGTTACACTGGGGACAGTTTATGTAGAGGATCTTTTTTGGCAGCAAACATCACTGCTGAACTGAAGTTTCAGCAGTGACCAAGTCCAACAACCACAGCTGCCTCGATTTCGCTGCTAATCTAAGAAATGTTGTTAAACCGGGGAGAAGTTGTGACGGTGAGGAAAGCGATCGCCTTAAAAGGTCTGTAATTGAGTCATTATTGTCCGACGGCAGATATCAATCAGCTTCGATGAAGGGTTTAAGTGAGCGGCAGGGTGATGTCATGGCAGAACACACCCGCAGACACACACATCACTCAGAGATAATGGCCGTTCACAGTGGAGGATAAGTGAATTAACAGGGAGCAGCAGATGGATGGACGGGAGCCACCGTCTCACCCCGAGGCCTGCGTCGGACTTCCTGTGGGACTACTCCTCTGTCTGTGTCAGCTGATCATGACACAGGAGGAGAAATACCACTGCGATCCTACAAGACACTGTCTACCTGTCAAACCTGTGCACCCAGAGTGGGTGGAGCTACAGCTATCATGACCATGTGGGTGGAGTTTGGGAGTTGGAACGAGAGGAACTGGACACAGGAGTGACAGCCTGGAGAGGATGTTTGTCAGAGATGGTCGTGAATTTATTTTGTTGATCAAACGTTTCATATATTCTTGCACATTTAAATTAGCATCATTTGAATAGCTTCGCAGTGAATGTAGAATAACAGTGACTGGACAATGACAGGAATCCAAAGCCCCATGAATACTAGTACTACTAGTACTACTTTTACTACTACTACTACTAATAATAATAATTATTATTATTATTATTATTAGTAGTAGTAGTAGTAGTAGTATCTAACCCATACATTTTACTCTTTTAATAATAAATAATTTTACTGTTACTATTATTGTTGTTGTTGTTTATTACCATTATCTGGTTTTCTGTCACCACAGCTGCCAGATTTTCTCTGTGTATATTCTGAAAAAAATGTTGTTAAATAACTGTCAGACAACAGTGTCGTTAATGAAGCAGCTGGACCAAACTAACCTGAGCTCAGATCAGACCGTTGCTTTTTTGCCAATGATCAGTCTGAGAGCCTGATTCTGACCTCCTGCTAACTGTCTGTCACCTTTCTTCTACACCCATCAAACCTTCAAACACCATCGATCCACCCTCCCCTCTCTCTCTCTCTCTCTTCCTTTCTCTCTCATACAGGCCAACACACACATTCAGAGGAAAACTCACCAAGTGAGATCAATATCTGACTGTTTAATCCACTTACAGACATCAAGGACAGTTTCAGCCTCCAATAAAAGCTCTGATGGAAACTTCTTTTGAGACTGAAGCAAAAAAAAAGACTTTTTCTCATGAATCAGCTTCTTTTGTCAGTTGATGTTGCCGTATCTCTCTCCGTTAGAAGATAAGATCACTTCACACTGATTTAACACGTTATTTAAATTGAGCTAGATGCATTTCTGTGTATTTGTCATACATTTCCATAATGGTAGCGTGTATTAAACCATGTTGAAGCTCAGCACCAACGTGCATCATGGTACGGCGACAGGATTTTTACACTGATTTGATAAATGGAAATGGCAGAAATGTCACAACCAACTTGGACTTGACTGGGAGTCAGTTTATGGTAGGTTAATACTTAACTCATTTAACTAGGCCTGGGCCAATAATCAGTAGATTTATTGATCGTACAATTCATGAAAACTTTGCTGGCTTTGAACCTGAACCTGTCTTCACAAACATCTGTGGCCATGTAGATCAAGAGTGGACAGATTTAATGAAGGAGACGAGGATTCTGAAAACCCGCTTCTATTTTCAGTTCAACTCTGTCTGACTGTTTCACTGACTGAGGGTCAGTGTCTCGCTGCAGGAGAGTCAGAGACAGTTATGAAACCCAGCAGAGCTGCACAAATTAAAAAAACCGAAATAGAACATGTTGGCAATTAGAGGAGCGGCGGAGAGTCAGGATCAAGTAGAGAAAGAGTTGTGCTGGTAGTGGTGATTGTTGTCAAGGCGACCAGGGGCTCAACACATCTAACGTCCTGCAGAATTCAAATAATGTTTTTTTTTTCTAATTTCTTTTTTTAAATCTGCGTATGTCAGAATCCTCGCGGTCACACTAAGAACACAAACACACTCGTTCAGATTCAAAAACTTTTCAGAGCTGATTTTAAAGACTCCTCCCTGGTTTGTCATTTCACAGATATTTGGCATGAGGCCTGGATATCAACCTCTGCAAAAAGGTTTATTCTAATGATTAAAAAATACAAATTATAATTATAATAATTGTGATGTAGAGTCTTAAAGTTCATAGAATTTCTTTAAGCTTTAAAGTCACATTTTATGACTTGAGGTTTTAGCTTTTTCTCTTCAAATGTTTTAACTAATTTGTCTTGATTTGAGTCACAAATCCTAATAAGGATCTTCAGCTAACTTGAAATACATAGTCTTAATTATTTTGGAATGTAACTTTTTTCTACTAGTACTTTTGCAGTATTTTTGGCTAACCTTTAGCTATTATCATACAGGGGTTACTTTGTGCTAGCCTTGTAGTTATTCTTTCAGATTCGTATTGAATATTTATTTTTATATTTAGGCTAACTTAACATCATGTATTTTTAATACAAATACTGTAGCTGTATTTGATCTTTCAAATCTCACACAGTGCCTGATTTTTGAGCTTGTCTTAGGTGTGAAATCCAGGTTTGAGTCTGAACCCGTTGTGGTGTGAACACGAGTCACAATAAATCACACAGATGTGGAGGGAGGAGAGGCAACGCACGAGGAGCACAGAGCTATGACTCTCACTGCTGGTGGATATGAGCTGCTATTTTTGGACAAATAAAGGAAAAGCCCCAGGGGATGCTGAGTGAGACTGGGAACAACTCCAGAAAGAAAATGTCCAGACAGAAGAAGGTGTGAAGGCGAGAATTTACTTGGAGAAAAAGTCAAATCAAAATGTGACAGACGACATGAGCAGCTGCATAAAGATGACACTTTATCTCTGCAGAAATCAGAAATGTGAGCAACACAAATCAGCCATCTGCATTTACAGGAGCACGGCTGCAGGTTACTGAGTGTGTTTGTTGTTTTTCAAACACACACACACACACACACACACACACACAAAGGTCTGGCGTGTTAAGCTGTAGCTTCTTAGCCTTAACCTTTGTTTGACATCTTAATCTGTTGGATTTCAGCTGTTGTGTTGGGTTCTGTTCCATCAAAATCCGAAAAAAGATTTTAAAAAATACTCAGTAATAAAAAAGGGCAAAAACCTGTTATAGCTAAAAGTAATAAAAGTTATATAAATTATTCCATGTTTATCAAATTTCACAACAAGAAGCTGGTCATAAACCCGTTTCAACATTGTAGTTTAGAAATAGCAGCGACAGCTAAAGGTTAGCCAAACAGTGGGTCAGCAGCTAGCTAAAAACTTACCAAAATTAGCCAAATAATAATTGACCACTAAATGTTAGCCAATACAGCTAAATCAAACCTATTATTTTTCACGTGTTAAGCCCTCAGTCTTTAACCAATACGACACCCCCACACACACACACACACACACACACAGTTTTATATATAGTGAAGAAGAAAAAAGCATCTCAGCGCAGTTGAAACTGTTGAAATCTTGGATTAGTGACGTCGGCCCTTCCTCCTCTCCACTGTAATGAACACTGTCTTCAGTCGTCTCTAATCCCCTCTGAGGACTGTGGAGATTAACTTCCACAGATCCTGAGAGAATCTCACATTTTTCACAAGAAAAGAACTGTACGGTGAAGTCAGGTCACCAGGAAACAGGTTGTTCATCTACCGGAGAGCGGCGGCAGCAGCTCTGCCTTCTACACACTGTCACTCTGTTTTTGTTTTATTAACATAAACTAAACTTATATGCTCCTCCAGTCGTTTTTGTAAAAAAAAAAAAAAAAGATCTGGGGAAATTCAGTTTTTAAAATGTCAGACTTTTGTGGCCAATGTGAGATCTGAATTTCAACCTGCTTATTTTTGCTTTTCTGTGTATGTTTTATTTTTAGCTATTTTTTAAATTAGATTTTAGCCATTTCAAATGAAATGTTTGGCCGTTTTGGCTAACTTTAAGCTAGTTTTCCTTTCACTATTTTTAACATTACATCATGCAAAATTATTTTAGCCTGTCGACGTTACTGCTTTGGTCAATTTAGCTTTTTTGGGGCAATTTCTACCTATTTGTTTTTTTACTAACGTCTGGTCATTGTCTGTTAACCAGTTATGGTCCTTCCAAACCTGAGGCTAAAAGGCTCTGGGGTAGATTTGTGCGGTATCAGCCTCCCAGTGTATCACAATCAGGCTGCAGCCCAGGAAAATCCCAGTGGAGCTGTACGTTCTCAACCTCTGCTAAATATAAAACCCTGGTGTCAGGTGCTGTACAAGCTCTGTTTTACTCCCACAACAGATGATGAATCTGAGCTGGAGTCGAACCAAAATGGTCTCCTCAAGACGAACGTGCAGAGAATCCTGTTCACCGACCTGGTGCCTTTATTCTGCTCTGTTGGGGATGAGGGACTTTTTAGTTCTCGTGGCCAGGTTTATTTGTCCGTCCATTCCTCTCTTCTACTTCAGAAACAAGAAATTACCCACAATGGAAACGACGGGACCATGGACAACATGAAGGATGTGTGATGGGTTCACGGAAATGGTGACCAAAATATATAAATATTCAGCCGAAAAACAGGAAATTGTCTGATGACAAGTCAAAAGTTGCAAATAGTTAGAAAAATGTTTTGCCAAAACTGAGAGACGGGAAAGTGACAGCAACTGGATGTCAACGTGGAACTATCTAGAAGTTATAGAAGATCCTGGAGAAAATAGTGAGGGAAAAGCACAAGTCAGAAAAAGGAACTATCACAAAAATGTACTAGACGATACTAGAAGTTTTAAAATCAGTCCGACTAAAATAGTCCAAATATATGAGAGTATTTACAAAGAACAGAACAAAATGTTGGGCAGAACTCAAACTTTTAACAGAAACATCAGCAAACGACACTTCAGGAACGAAGTCAGGCCACAAAAACATTAGCTAAATATATATATATATGGTGTGTGTGTGTGTGTGTGTGTGTGTAAATCTGCTCTGATGTGAAATAATGAGGTCAGGACTGAGTTGACAGAGAGTCACAGCTCAGTGTGTGGTCAGCAGATGAGGACGGACACGGACGTCCAGCAGTGGGAGGACCAGAGTCTGAGACCTGGGTGTCCAGAACCTCCATCACCTGCTGAGGTATGAAGGTCACGGTGTGGACCCGTCTCTTCACTGTCACTCACTGTTACAGGTTATAGTTATAATGTCAGTTAACAGTATTAACGTTGGTTTGATCATATTCACATTGTTGGTTATAACAACATATAAACCAGTTTATAAAACATGACTTTGTTATTATTCTATTGTAATATAGTGATACTACTATAATAATGTTAATAATACATTACAATAATGATATTTCTCATTAAATGTTGGTGTAACCATATAGTATTATGTTGTCATGTTACCTTATAATATTGTTTATATTATAATAACTTTTGATAATGATCTACTTTGAAGGAAATCTTGTTGGTGTTATTATTGCTGTAAATAATAATTATATAATAATTATAATATTATAATAATTTATTGTAATAGGTAATGTATTACATTATCATAATACTTAATTTTATTAACGTTATATAATATTAATAATAATTTAGCATTATAATATAATTATAATATAATCAAATATAATAATTTCTGTATGTATAATGTATAATGACTTCATAGTCATATTCTAGTATAATATTGTGATTTCAACATAACACACATGACTTCGACTACTGTTTCTGTCCATTTTTGTATTGCTATTTTTGTCATTTTTATTTATTTATATTACAAATGTCACCTTTTTCTTATCTAATTATTAAATATTTACAAATATTTTATTTTATTTTCTGGCTTTCTCTAACCTTCACCTTTATCTTCTGACCCGTCTCTACAGTGTGAGGTCTTTATTAAAGTTGCTGGACGGACCTGACGACCTGAGAGAGGTTTGTAGACGCTGAGAGAATCTCTGAGCAGCAGTGAGTCAGAGCCACATCCACAGGTAGAGACTGGACTACCTGTGGATGGAGACGCTCAGGCCACGGACCCATTCACTTACTGTCATTAGAAGAGTCAGAAATTCACACGGACCATTCAGGTGTGAGTGTGAGTGTGAGTGTGTGAGTGTGTGTGTTGTTGGACCTGTCGTCACTAACTCTCTGCTCTGATGTTCCTAGTTAATGAATCAAATGAAGTGGGACGTCTCCCACCCCCTTACCCTGTGCTACTCTGACTAACATATGGAGATTTGCTGCGTGTGGAGTAAGTGCACAGTAAAACACCCCGAGGAGCTGCTGCTGCTGCTTAAGTGATTGAGTCTGTCAATCTGAGCTCTGATTCTTCTGTAATTACAGCAGCTTCACGGAGGTCCTGAGTCCTGTCCTCTCCTGTCCTCTCCTGTCCTGTCCTGTCCTGTCCTGTACTCTCCTGTTCTGTGATGTTTGTCCCATCTCTATGAGAAAGACAGACTGAGGCTCATTTTGAACTGATATCACTAAGGTCCTTGTATGTTTGTCAGAAACAGTCCAACCTTGTCTAATGTCTCTTTGGCTAACTTTTAGCCACTGGAGTTTCTTCAGTCCAACCTGTTTGTAGTATTATTTATCACCTTTTAAATGTTTTTATTTAGCTTGGGTCAGACTTTTATATTTTCCTCACAGGCTTTTATTCACCTTATTGTCATTTTTTTCAGTCAAATGTCCGTGATAATTTCTGGTTCAGTGTTTTTTTGTTTTTGTTTTTGTTTTTTTTTTGACTGTTTAAAACTTCACCTCTGGATGATAACCAACCAACAGACACTGTTTAAAACTTTACCTCTGGATGATAACCAACCAACAGACAATCACAATTGAAAAGCAAATCAAGACTTCTTCTTCTGGACTATTTTCCTGTGACACCTGTGAGTTCAACAGACTTCATCACCAACAACAACTGAACTTTGTTGACTACAAATATAGAAACGAGCTCATGTAAACTACACAAAGTGAACTCAAACCTGTAACTCAGACTCTGGCTCGTGTGATAAAAACAGGCTCTTACCTCTTCTTCTTCTTCTGGACCTTCTTCCTGTCCCTCTGGCTCATCACCACAGGAACACAGCTGC